TCGACATGACTGAGTTAGGACCTTGTCAGAGTCAGGTTAGGGCTTAATGGCATGGCTGGTCGAGATGACAATTACAGTCGAGGTGGGACCACCATTAGAGTCTGGTTGGGATTGCCATGGGACGGCTTGACATATCGAGACTACAATTGAGATAGAAATCTTTTTTTTTTGACAAAGTAGAAAATTTCATTCACTGGAAATTTAATGTAAAGATTTCAAATTAGAGGCCAAAATGTAAATTTCAAAAAAGTTTGAGAGCAAAAATGTAAGTACAAAAAATTAGGGGCTAAAATTTAATTAAAAGTTTAATGGTCAAATGATAATTTAAAAAAAAAATTAGAGGTCAAATTATAATTTTGAAAAAGTTTAGTGGCCAAATTATCATTTCCAAAAGTTTTGGGGTGAAATATAATTTTAAAAAGTTATTTACTTTTTTGTTTAAAAGAATATGTAATAAAAACTAACCTTAGCAGATATGTTTTTTTTAACATATAGTAAAATGTAGTTACTAAACATATTTTTTTTGTTTAAGAAAATGAAAAACAAAAACAAAAGAAAAAATATATTTTTAAAAAAAAAAATTAAAAACGGACACGTTACCAAACAAGACCTTTGTTATCACATTTTATAACCTCAATGACAACAAGAAATGCATTAATTAGTCTAATTTTTGTTGTCCTTATTAGTTTCTAATCAATTAAATCATATCACATCATCTCATGATAAGTATGAAAGAGTTAGTTAAAAAGTAATTTAAATTTTTTACATGACGTGACGTGATTTGATTGGTTAGACACTAATATTAGACAACAGATTTGAGTCCCTAAATTTAAATCACTATTAGGCATTAGAGATGAAAGTATTTAGGGATACTTGCATAGGCTTGATCAATTTAGAGACTAAATCCCGTATTTGCCTTCTATCCGCCTCAATATTATGACTCACAATTTAAGGGACATATTATGGACTCACAATTTAAGAGATTTTAAAAGAACCAAGGGAATTTGTTTTGTTTTGTTTTTTTGTTTTTGTTTTTTTTTTTTAACCTCAGTGATACGCATGCATAACATTTGTGTAATAACGGTTGTTCAACAAAAGGAATTTGTCTTCATTGGCCTTGCCACAATGTACTAACAATATAGTTGTACAATAATGGTTGTACAACAAATGTACTCTTTTCCATCGGGCTGAACTAAATGCCTTTGAAAATGAGTTTTGAACCATGGAAATGTAATACCATTAAAAGAGTGGTCATGTTGACTTTAGTCATTTGTTTGTTGTTACCTTAAAAATTTTGTATGTTTGTCTTGACTGTCTTCTTCCTCCCTTATGGATGACTGAATGATACCAAAAAGATTTAGGGGCTGTTCGGCGGCCCCTTTCTGGAGTCAAAAACTCAAAAAAAAAAAAAAAAAAAAAACTCGAGTTATAATTTTATAAGTTTATGTTCTTTTAAGTTTGAATTCGAGTTTGAACTCGAGTTTGAGACTAAAACTCGAGTTCAAGTTTCTCCTTCAACTCGAGTTCAGAAACTCAAACTCAAATTAATGAACAGTATTTTTTATATTCTTAAAAATGCTATAACTTTTTCGTTTTAATTCTGATTGAGATGATTTTTTTTATGCGTTGACAACGAAAAGACAAATAAAACCCCACTCATATACCCTATTAAAATTTTCTATCAACATTGAGTTTTAATTAAAATACTATCTAAATATAAATTTAAGTTTTGACTCGCTCAAACACAAACTCAAAAAGATTCTTATCTCAAACCATAACTTAAATGTACACAACCAAACACAAACTCAAGTTACAACTTCAACTCAAGTTATAACTCAAAATCTATACTCAAGTCACCTAACTCAAAAACGGTAAAAGAACAACCCCTTATTTTTCTGAAAAAAGAAAACTACAATTCCAATAAACAACTGGTTCTACTAATAAATTCGAATGAAACACTCAGGGAAAAAGGTATGTACAGAGTTTCAACATGGAACGCTCTACAAGGTACATCAAACATCGAGCACACAAATAGATTTTAATAAATCCTTTGGAAATATCAAATTGATTAAGATTGAGAGACCTGTAGTACTAAGACCATACAAAACACTGCATGAGCACACATTAAGCAAATAAAAAATAAAATCTAAAATTAATAATTGAAATAAACACACCAATAGAGCGGGAAGGAAATTGAGAACTCGACTTAATAACACTCAACAAAAACTTGAGAAATTACGGCTTGAAAAAAAAAAGTGTCACTGGGCTCAGGAATTGAACAATTGTTTTGAAAATTGAAACTAGAAATGAAAGTTGAAAGTCACACATTTATCATAATATTATTTACATAGAGAATCCAACCTCCATCAACATGGAGGGTTGAGTGGAGTCCTTTTTTCTTGACCTTGTGATCGGGCCTCAACATCTGATCCATTTAAATGTGGTAGATATCGAGGCATCATTCACTTTCTTATTTGGAAGAGTTTTGCCCCCCAGTATTATAGTGAGTTATCCCATTAGTGGAATAAAATCCATAACACAAAAACAAACGCAAAAAAAAAAAAAAAGGAAAACCCAAAGCATCACCATCATGAGCCTCTGATGAAGGCACAGTCGATGAGAAGACTACCAGGAAAAGAAGAAGGCAACGGAGGCAACGGCAGGGCCGAATGCCACCATATCGAGCCAACACTACTCTAACCAAAAGAAGCTCATCATCGACCGAAACAAACTTAGCCACCCAATGATGAACGCACCCATCATATGATTTCCAACTTCTAAACGAGGTCGAAACGACCCCGAAAAACATTGTCATCACCATTGAAAAGCCAACGACAAGTTGAGTCCAGAAACTAAATTTCAAGGCCAGAAGTCCAGCGCCACGCTCAGAGGCAGTCCCAGAGCTCCGGCCGACTCTCCCTTCTTTTCTCTCTGTTATGTAGTTTCTCCGAGAGTACTTGGAGACCAAAAAGATTGTAAACAATGAGAATGACAAGCATTAATCTAGAAACAAACACCTAAGTGATGTTACAAATATTGGGTACAAAGTGAATGTGACAATTGATTTTTTAGAATATGATTGGAAATAATATTTGAGTTACTTATGCATACTGTATAACTAACTAGATATTGACAAATGTCCTCAAATTATTTATTTCATAATAAATAGGGAACTATTAGCTTGAAAGCATGAAACTCTCAACTTGGTAGGATCTCTTGTTCGTTTAAACTGTAGATATATTCTAAGGAAAATTATTGAACTTGTCTTTTAAGGGTGTATGAGTATGAAATTTTACTATTTATTCTTGATTAATATTTTTTTAACTAATATAGTTCTTTAATTAAAGTGTATTAATAAAAAGTAAGGGATAGAATTCAAGACTCATATACTTTACGGAGTATTTATCTCATTTTCCTTATATTCTAGCATGTATGAGCCTATTGAGCCCAACATGACATATATGATAATTAACACTAATTAAAATCTTCTGTCTAATTTCCTTGTTTTATTCTTTGTTTCACCAATGTCGTTGGAACTAAAGAAATTTTGAAGTTAGCCGTTTAGTTTACACGCGCAAAGATGCGCCTTTTTTTTTTTGGGTCAATGTACCATATCCACGGCTAGTTTAGTTCCAAGATATGGGATTCCATAACAATGGATTTAATCATTCCTTACTAATTAAAATGGAAAAAAGAGAAAAATACCACTTTAAATAGTATCCATGTGATGTTTGGACCCAAACATTGACTAATCAATTATAGTCAAATAACTATATTAATCAAAATAATATTAATTATGAATAATGAGTAAAAATCAAATACACACACTCTTGGAGTGAGTTTAGCCATTTTCTCGAATTAAAACCGTACCCTCTTCATAGAAACAAAAGGTTAAACTTGAAGAGATTATTGGCATAGCCTAGAACTTCACGAGCACAAAGAGATAAATGTTGTCATGTGATCTGAGCTGTTGGGTTCTTACATAGATTACATCATTGAGGTGTTTAGTACAAGAACTTTTATGGCGCCGGGAGAAAAATTCCCAGCATTTTGCTGGAAAATACTAGAACTTGTGAATTTTATGTTAGAGTTACAAACTTCAAACGTTGGAGTAATGCAAGTTACGATAGATTTTGAATTATTTTTTAAAATTTACATTAGAATTTACTAACACAAACGCTAAAGTTGTAAAAGTTAAGATAAGTTGTGAATCGGCATGGTGAAGACACTGTAGAAGGACCCTGTTTAGTACAATACATAAACAAACGTGCGCTCAGTTTCCATAAGACAACTTTTGGCAAATGTCCTATATGGCCAAGGATTAATCAATTCCTACTAGTAAAATCCATAAACTCAAAAGAACAATCCATAGGCATTCTAGACAGGGCAAAAAATTTTCAAAATTTATTAAGGGCTCGTTCACTTCGCATATTCCAATTTTCAATTCGAGTTGAGATGTGACATTTTTTTAGAGCTTTTCACTGTAACAGAAAAAGTTAGATGTGACATTTTCTAAGAGCTTTTTAATGTAAAAATTTAAAACTGAAAACTCGAATCAGTGAAATAAACGAGGCCTGAGATTCCTTTCTCGTAGAAAACCGTAATGATGTTACTATGCAAACAGTGCCATCACCGGATTTGGTTCCACAAACACAGCAGCAATTTTACCGCTCTTTAATAGTGGTCTTAAAGCTAGGAAATTACCGTACTCCAAGAAAGTAACACCAGGCATGACTGCCTCGAACGGTGATCGGTAACGCTCCTTGCTTGTCAAAGCCAGAGCCCCCCACCGTCCTTCCATGGAAGTTGTTTTTGAAAGAAATAAATAGATTCGATGTAGTAAATAGTAGCTTTTAGTATCAGTTTGTCGTGCATAAATATAACTTTGAGTTGGACAAAATCAGAATGAGATCTCCCAAATCACTTTTATTGAGTAAATGACATTTATTAGATACACAGGAATACCATTCACAACAGTGATCCCAACAAGTAAACCGGAAAATAACGTGACAAGCAAAGCTATACGCAAAGGGAAAAAAAAAACCATTACACAGTATTTAAAACAAATTGGATTATTATGAGAACGCATCTATACATTAAGACAAAATACAAATCAATAATCAAGGATTCATGCATATAAGCATTGTAAGGATCTTAGTACATCCAGGACAAGTCTTGCCTGAAAGATATGGATCTTGCAGCTCCCACCATACACCTCTCAGAAATTTGCGGACAATCTTCAACAGCCAACAGTTCCAATTTGTAAGCACCCATAAGCGGCTTCAACCCATCATTCGTTATCCCCAGACACTTGCTTAAACGCAATATCCGCAACCGGGAAAACTGGCTCACAAGCTGAAGTCCTTCATCACTAATCTGTTGACATCTAACCAGCTCTAAGGTTTCCAAATACTGAGCCAAGCAAAGTGCCTGCATTCCAATGTCATTGAACGAATACACTTGGTCAAAAGAGAGTTCCTTCAGAGGGCAATTTTGAATCAGAGCAAGAATCCCATCTACAGTAAATGAGGAGAATGATGGGAACTCCCCATCAGAATAAGATATCTTGACAGATTCAAGCATCGAGCAGTTTTGAGCCACGGCTTTTAGGCATTGATCTGTTAACCTCAAAGGGTTGTCGAGGAATAGAGGAAGGGAGAAGTCTGAAGGAACACGAAAGGATAGAGACCGAAGGTTTCTTGATTTCTGGGCTAAGCCTATAATGTCACAGTCCCTTACTCCAACACACATGTCCAAGTGAATCTTCTCCAAGTTCTTGCATTTCCCCAACACACAAGCAAGTCCTCTACCTGGGCTTATTATGCAGTTTACCAAACTAAGCTCTTGCATATTCTCACAAGGCACCCACTGCTTTTGCCATCTATCCACAGCTAGACGGTCATACACTTCCATGTATCTATAATTAGCATCCACCTCAAATTGCAACCGTTTTATTTTTCTCCAACTCTGACCTAACTTAATCAAATCTCCCTCCCCAATAGCTCTGCAATTCTTGATTGAGAGATCTTCGAGCGTTTCGAGCTTGCCAAGGTACTCCAGCCACTCAACACTGCTAATATTCAAGCAACGGATAAGGTGAAGAACACTCAAGTTTTTGCAGCCAACAACAAGGGATAATATACCGCAGCCAGTGATTCTTGGGGTGAAATTCAACTTAAAGGCCGAAAGTCTAGAACAGGAAGACAAGTAACAAAGGCCCACATCAGTGATGAATGTGCAGTAGCTCAAGGTGAGATCAGTGAGAGAAGGGCAGTAAGTGGAGAGAACTGAAAGCCCCTGATCATCCAATTGTTTTCCGAGTTTGGACATCCAACCAGAGTAGATTATCTCCACTTTTGTCAAGTTGGGAAACCTAGTGCAAAGTAAAGTTAAAGCTTCATTTGCAGGGTCTAATCCACAACCAACGCGAAGGGATTGTCTCTGTTCATTATCCAAATTGTGAAAGCGCTTACAAGACAAAGAAATGGTGTTTCTATCAGTGCTTTTCTTAATTCTGTCCATGATCTCCCAAAGTAACTGCTCTGGTAAACCGTTCATCATCAAAATAGAATCCCTTTTATTTTATTTTTTTTCCCACTTCGATGAAAAACAGATAAGCAAATACCTGAAGTAGTATGAAAATCTCAAAAATAAAGAAAAAAATTATCCGTACACAAAAGGATTCTACATTTTCCTTCTTCCTTCTAATCGATTTGATCATAAAACCAAAACGAAACTTGCAAAATCAAAACTTGATCCAACAAAATTGGGAAAAAAAAAAGACAGAGAATTCGTCAAAGCAAAAAAAAAAAAAATCGAAAATTAGTAAAAATCAGCACACATCGATCATTCAATTGCAAGATTTCAACAATTGGAAACACTATTTTCATTCCGAGTTTTCTCAGAAAGAAAATCTAGTCGAAGAGTGTAAGATTTTCAAAAATCGTACCAGGAAACGGAGACGATTAGAAGACTCGAGGATGATATCCTATTCCTAAGAAAGGCTGAGGATCTGAGAAGATATCTTTGCGTGAAGTAAAAGATATTAATATATATAGATATCTAGAGAGAGAGACGGTTGTTTTCAGAGTATCTTGGAGCATTGTAAATTCTTCATCGGTTTAGTTCATTAATTTAAATTTTTAATTAAATTTAAGATGTGATTTTATATATAAATTTTTTATTATAATAAAAAAATTATATATAATTATTTTAAAAATTTTTTTATTATAATAAAATTTAAATTAGTAAAATAAATAGAGTTTTAATGTGTAAGTTAGGCTGTGAGACCCTAACTTTTGAATGGATTGTGCATATTTACAGCCCACTGAATTTGTATAAATACTGACTTTGTGAGAGGTTTTTTTGGGTACAAATTATCTTTTTTAACTATTAATAAGTATTGATATTTTAACTTTTGGATTAGTTTTTCAATATTGATCTATAAATGTGAGTTATTTTGTGTCACTCGTTATAAATTTTTAACATAATCACTTGAAGATATTAATTTTTAACAAAATTAATTCAGTGATTAAAATAAATGAAAAACAACAGCTTCTACTTTTTATATTTATTTCTGTGATCATGACTAATTTTTTCAATTACATCTTATTTTACCGTTATTTTCATCAACGGTCATTTAGCTATAATGGACATTTAATTTTAGAGAAATACCTACTCCCAAAATTTTAAAATATACACTTTATAAATAGATTAAAGCAGAGCGACCATCCACTGTTCATAGAGTGAATTGACGATTTTGCCCTTTTTTCTTTCTTTGGGGGTAGGGGCTTGATGATCTTTTCACGTCTGAGGCTGCATTTGTACCGTTCTGTCCTTGGTTTCTTACGCTTTTCTTCGGTTCCGGTTGGTCTCTTTGGTCATTTCCTGGAAGTGGTACTTTCCTTTTTCCATTGCTTTGGCTTCTTCATTTTCTTCATTCTCTCTCTGTTTTTTTTTTTTGGCTCAGCTTTGTTTCTTTTATTTGGTTTTGGTCGAAATGGTGCATTTTTCCCTTTATGTTTTCAATCTATTTGCTTCTTTTGTGTCATTTGGCCAGAAATTTTGGTCTTCCGTCTCTTTTATTTTCTTGGGTTCTTCGACTGGTTGGATTTGTGATTTCTATCGGACTTCCCTTTGTCCTTGGTGCAGAGGCCCTTTAGTTCTCCTTGGTTGCATTTCCGTTGGTTTCATTTGTGATTTTGGCTTTGTTGGTTTAACTCAGTATTTTTGTTGGGGTTGCTTTTTTCTTTCTCCTTGGCTGCTCCGTTTCGTCGCTTCTGAGTCATCAAAATCTTAAATTTCTATATTCTTCATCTTTTGGTTTCACGGATTTTTTTCTGCAGGGATTACGTATTGATTGTTCGTCCTTCTCTCCGGCTGATTGCATGCAGCGTATGGGTAAATCTCGATTTTTTTATGTTTCATTTATTGTATTGATGAGGTGGGCTCTGTATAGTAGTGATTTATCTTGCCAGCTTGATGATTTGTACTGATTTTGCTACAGAGGTATTAAATGCAATTTTAGAACAAAAAATTTCTTTCCACCTTTTTTGATTTCTCTCCTTTTCCCTTCTCTCGGGCGATTATTTTTGAAGTCCTGTTATTTTTTTCCTCTTTTTTTGTTATCGTAAATACCTTATTGTGTTTATCTTCTAAGCATGAAATTTTGATATTTTAGTCTATAAATTAATATCTGTTATTACGTGTTATATTGCTAGAGGTTGTTTACTGTTCACTTTTGCTTTTCTATTTCTTATTTATGAATGTTGTTGCTCTACATTAATTTATCATGTCTATTTATGTTCCTCTCTCTTGCATTTAACGTTTTCTTTCTTGCTTTCACCTGTGATCATTTACTACTTCATTCCTTTCTTCATCATTTAGTGCTCTCCTTCTTTATTTCTGTATCTTCACTGCCTGTGTTCATTTTTGGTTAGCTAATATCTCACGCGTAGGGCAGCGTTTTCAACGCTCCAGGTACTATCAATAACTTCTCCCAATAGCCCTTTAATGTCTTTTGCTGATATTGAATACGTTTGTTGTTTAAATTGGCTTTTATTGTCAATAAATATCCCAATAGCCCTTTAATGTCTTTTGCTGATATTGAATACGTTTGTTGTTTAAATTGGCTTTTATTGTCAATAAATATCCCAATAGCCCTTTAATGTCTTTTGCTGATATTGAATACGTTTGTTGTTTAAATTGGCTTTTATTGTCAATAAATATCGGTAATCTGTTTCTATGTCTTTTGTTTTGTCGGTTAGTAGTGCACAAGTGTTGACTTGCATTTTATTTGTTTTTTAGTAACATGTTTCTCCCGATAGATTCTTAATGCTTTTTTGTTGATATTGAACATACTGGTTTTCCTGTGCCATTATTAATATACTGTTTTTCTTTCAATTTCCTTTTACTGTTAATAACTATTACTGATCTATTTATATTTTTTTCTTTTGTTCTGTACTTCATTAGTCAGTAGTCCTCAGTTGTTAACTTGCTATTTATTTATCTCTTAGTAATGTACTTAGATACATATTTTTATTTCATGTGTTTTAGTTTTAGTTTTCTTTGTTTTTTTTAATGGCAACGATGAGTACAATTGATTTTGGCGCCTTGAGTTTTATATGATTTGTCCACAGATTGCTTGAATTATGTGATCCTTATTTGGAATTTCGTTTTTTCTATCCGTCTTAATTAAGAACTTTTGGTCGTTTCTATTCTGTTGTTTTTACTTATTCTCATACTTTGCCCTTTTTTTCTTCATTTGAGGGCAACGGCTTTATGGTCTTTTCGCGTTTGAGGCTGTAGTTGTATTGTTTTGCCCTTAGTTTCTTATGTCTCTCTTTGGTTTTTGGTTTGACTTTTTGGTCATTTCATGGAGGTGCTGCTCTACTTCCTATCTCTTTCTCAATCTTTGTCTTCTCCCCTTCTTCACTCTCCTGCTCCTTTCTCAATTTCTTTGGCTTTTTGGTCGTTTTTATTCTCTTTTTTTTTAGTTATTTGCTTCTTGCTGTTTTATGATATTTACCAATTATCCCTACTTATTTTGAACCCATGCTATTCTTACTTTTACTACAATTGACAGTCATTTATTTATGTAACATATTCTTTTTCCTTTGTGTTTTATCTTTTTAATCTCTCTATTTTAAGTAATTGAATGAAATCTTTCCATTGTTCATCCAGACTCAGTTTACTATACATATTACGCTTTAATGACGACTTTGCTCCTTTTTTTTGCATCCCTTTTCTGTTTCTGAGTAGGCAATTTTTCGTCTTCTTGAAGTTTAGGCTGTGTTTTTACAGTTTTGCCTTTGGTTTTTTTTTAGTTCTCTTTGTTTTTAGGCTGAGACTTTTAGTCATTTAACGTACATGAGGTTATAGCGTCTCTTTCTTCCTCCATTTCTTGATGTTCTTCACCTCTTTTACATTTTTTCTGCATTTTTGGTATGCTTTGCTTTTTTCATTTGTCTTTTGGTTTGTCCCTGCTCCGTATATATAATAAGATCTCTCTTTTTTTCCCTCGCTTAGTCGCTTTACAAATTTTTATTTTACTCTAGTTGCTCATACTCTGTCACATACAAATTATATTTGTGTGATGGATACAATATCTTATTAATTTTTGTGCCTTTATGCAGTTACCCTTAGTAGGCAGCCACAAAATGGCTATAAATATACAAGTTATTTATTCATCACACAATGCTGAGAATGTATAATATCTGAGTCATATTTTTTACATAAAAATATTGTCACATTCATATTTTATTACTATTTTTTATTATTGTTTTCATCTGCTCGTTCATCTATTCATTTACTTACTTATTTATCTATATTGTTTCAGATTTTATACCATTTAGTACTTTAACTTCCTACAGCTGCATCCTTCACTGTTGTTCACATTTGCTTCGCCGGTTTTGGGATTTGGGGCAACACTTGCAGCGTTTGAAGTATTCTTAACAAGTATTCTTAACAGTTTTTATCCACAGGTTTTTAATAAGTGTTATTGGTACTTGATGTATGAGTTTGTTGTGGAAATGTTCATGCCTATTCTCTACGCTTCGCTATGTTTATTTGCATTTGTCTTCGTCATCTTATTGATACATATTTCTGATGCAAAACGCTAAGAAAAGTTTCCTCTTATTCTTAAAAAATATTAGTAATCGATACCTTTTTAATCTTCCGTTTTATAACTAAATAATTTTTATATATGAACACGCTCTTTATTTTTTCCTGTAGATATATATACATATATATCTTTACTTAGCAGATTCCAGTTTTAATTGGCATTTTTGTGTAGCAATGATGATTACAGTCATGTTAATTTAGTAGGTTATTCTTAGACAATTTTACATAACTTTCCCCTTTTTCCTTCATTCCTTCTATCTGTGAACAAAGAGTTTTTGGTGTCACTTAGTACATTCCAGTTTTAATGGGTATTTTTGCATGGCAATAATGCTTACAGTCATGTTAACTTACTAGATTGTTCTTAAAGAATTTTACACAGCTTTCCCCTTTTCCTTTCATTCCTTCCATTTCTATCAATGAGTTTTTGGTGTGTTTAAATTCTAGGCTATGGTTGTACTAGTTTTAGCCTAGTTTCTTACTCTTTTATATACAAACTAATCTTGTACTGTAAAAATTATCAACTTTTTATTTGATCCATAACTAACTAATCCTATACTGTAAAATTGCCAACTTTTTATATAATCCATGACCCTGCAACGCGGGCAAAAAACTAGTTTGACTCTATAATTAAATTGTCTATTTCCATGAGGAAACTAGCACAAGAATGGCACACAAGTGTTTTAAGAGGGGTAAAATAGTAGATAAAAACAAAGCATGTCTGAAAGAATTTTAAAAAAGAAAAAGAATGATTTGGTCGGTGTATCTTTTTATCTAATTTTTTTTTTCAAAACTGCTTGCTTTTTGTCTCTTTTATTCCTCATGTGCCATCTTAGTATTAGATTTGGCTATCACGTAAAATTTCATTAAAAAGAAGGGGTCTTGAGGATGGCCCCCAACATTACTTGTAGAGAGCGAGTTATTTTAAAATTTAGGATTATTTTCATAAATATTTTTAAAGTATGTATCA